AATAACTTGTACACAACTGTTTCGCAAAAGTTTCTTTTTTCTTTCAGAGTCATTCCCGTACGTTCGTTTTCTGTCATGATGTATGTGTTGAACGTGCTACATACGTGTTGAACCTTAGTTTCGACGAGAGAACGTCTGGTCCTTATACAAACAACAGAATACACTTTGTGTTTGAACAGTGACACCGAACGGGCCACATTTCTCTCGCACAAAAAACGACCGACTCAAGGCTCGATACCTTTTCTTCCGGCAAGATGTCAGCAATCGGTTTTAATGTGTTGGCATAGTCGAAAACCAGCACAATCATCCGTCGCACATTTTCCGAGATTGTTGTAAGACTTCCCGGACCATTTGAGCCGTCAAAAATGAGCTGGAATAATGCATGTGATGACTAACGCCACAACGATAGGCAATTTTTTCCTGGTGAAGTCTCAAAATTGCGTATTAAAGAGGCGTAACTTTACTCATTTTTTGTTGTTTTCAGATGGAAGGGGAAATGACACTAGTTCTGACACGCCCACCTGAGATCTGGGGGTGATGAGCGAAGGACGGTGAACGCAGTCTAGAAGAGTGGGTCGAGCCATAGGCGACACCGGGGCTACGTCTCGCAGCTGCAGACAAATCTGCTCGATTTCCCGAAGGGTTGTAAGAATTTCGTCACAAGGCGTGGGACGGATGTCAACAGCTGGAGCCGATTCTGCTCGAGATGAAGGTGAAGTAGGATTGTCGTCCGAATCATCCTGCAAACCGAAATCTCAAGGATGTGCCAGATACTTGAACTTTCAACTTACTCTTTTATTAACGCAAGGTAAATCACCAAGCATAGAAGCGCCAGATAATTTTTTCACAACAGCCGGGTCGAGACCATTTATCAGATGACTGCCATTTCTTCTCGGATTCTTTTGTCGGCCCGTTTTGTCTCGATCGGGTCGGATGGCTAAAGAATTAATGTGTGCATGTCTGGTGCTTTCGACATTTGACGTTTTGTGCTGACTTCTCGCTCATAATTTTTACTGAAAAAGTACGCTATTTTCCCACTCTTCCAACAGAAAGTATAGGCAAAACGGCGCACGCAGAGAATGGACACCATTGTACCTGCTCAAGAGAGTTTGTTTTGAGGATATGGGCTTGATCCAAAAGGCGCTAACATCGTCCGCAATGGAACCATGTCTCTGCGTGCAACAATTTGTCTTTACCTTCCCAGCAGGTAAAAGTACAATTCAGATTCCCACAAACACACAATCCCCAAATCTCATACTGTAAATTGAGGCGTATTGAAGAAAAGCCACCCACCATCTGGCTCCATTCCCACATCGAGAC